AGACTTCAAATTATGAAAATAATTCCTTTACATTATTAAACAATTGTAACCAATCCGTGTTTCAAATTTTAACATATAATGTAAGTCTTATAGAAAGCCACTTTTATTTGTGTTTGCTATTTTTGCAGCCTGTGTGCATTTTGTGGTAAACAGAAAAATGGCATCACATTTCCCATAAATACTACTAGGAATGGAAATGACTGGGCTCTAAGATTGAGTGGTATATATCTGATTTCATATGTGGACTTGATATAAAAGGCCAGCACAACCAATCAGAGAAGAGGTAGAAGACAAAACATAGAAGAAAATGGCACAAGAGGATTATGAGTTTTCAGTCATTGACATTTGTTAGGGTTTTTTTTTTCTTTTTTGATGTTTTGTCATGGTGGACATCATAACTGTTACATTGTATTTATAAAGCATTGCACTAACTAAAGTTTCGTGTATAGAAACATAATGAGCTTTTTCAAGAATGCACATTTAGGTACAGATTTTGACTCCACAGGATTTGATAACTACACTTATTTTTTCCTCTATATTCTATTCATAGTTTAGAAATCTTTCATTTTTAATAAAGTCCAAGTTGCAAGCACACATGTACACAGTTACTCATGTTTTTTATTAATTTTTAGAACTTTATTAAAAGCAAATGTAAGGAATCCAAAGGCTTTTCCCCCTAGCTCATCTTATAGTTTTTCTTTCACAGGTTTTAATGTTAGCTGATTTAAATATATATTATTAATGAGATTCATTTTTCAATTTGCTTTCTCAAGATTTATTCATTTCTCCTTGTTTTCATACATAAATAGTTTCATTTGGAAATACCACATATTCACCAGAAAAAAACATTTTAACTAAATAATTCAGTATGATACCCTTCATCTTCTCTTAGGAATGCAAATATCACATTCTTTACCTTCGAATAAAAGAATCCCTTCTAGCATTCTCATGACATATAATGAATTAAGTCTGTTTTTGACTACCAAAAAAGGAAAAAAATGTAAACTAGCATAAATATGTCTGCAAAATAAATTCAGATATGAATATTGTACTTAACTCTAGAGAAGTTGACATTGTCTTCACTTCAGGAAAGTCTGTACATATAAAGTGCATAAGAATAAAGATCATTTAAAATGTTGTTCCTTATTTGGATGAAAATGAGTAGTATCTCAATTTGCTACACTTTTCAGATAATGAGTTGAAATGCAGGCTTCAATTTATTTGGTTAAGCATACGTGCCAATAAAGGGATTTTCAGCTCTCAGACCTTTCCACAAGTAGATGGTAATGAAGTAAAATGTATGTACTTCCATTTATTTTGAAATGAAAACTTTCATTATTCCATCTAGCCATTGTCAGAGCATTCAAGGACAGGAAGAGTAGGGCTTAGAAATCATCATTATAGAACACGGCTAAAATGCTTTTCCAAGCAATATGAGTGTGGATGTGTTCATTTGAAAGCACATTTCTATTCATTTGAATGCTTATTTCTATGAATTGTACTAAGGTATCTGAAATAACTAATCATTTTATTTCTGGAATAGTCTTCATGAATATATTATATAGATGCTGATGCATGTTTATAATAATTTATTTTATCAAATCTTGCCAAAGATATGTAGAATACTTGTAAATTGGACTTCTTTGAAGATCAATCCACCTTCAAATATGTTTCTGTAGTTGCAGAATATTATTGAGTCAAGTTTAGGAATTCCAGGAATACAACTTTAATAGTCAAAATTTATAGACATATTATGGGAATTAAACCTGAACATATTTGATGTTTTTAAATGTATGTCTGAAAATCAATTAGAGGTCATAAAAATACCTTTGTATTACAGAAACTTGAAGAATGAACTGCGCATAGATTTATAAAAGTGCTTTTGAGTTTCACCTTTCTTGATCAGCTAAATATTGGCAGTTGCCTGCATACTGAAGTTTTGTGTACTGACAATCCCTCTGTGGTTGACATTAGAATGTACAAACTTATGGAACTTTCAGTAAAATTGACCTTTTAGTTTATACTGGGCAATTTTGTATATGATATATAGAACAAATCCAGAAAAGTCCTTTATTTTATGTTTTCTTCCAGTAGCTTTACAGTTTTATGTCTTCTGTTTAATTCTTCAATACACAGATTTTTTAATGACATTTAAGCCTTTGCTAATATTTAGTAATATTACTTTTCTTTGGAGGCATTTAAGAGAATTAAGAGGAGTTTATTGTAATCATTTTTCAACTCTTCATTGAAACTGTGGTTATTTTTTCTACATATATTTCATGAAATGGGAGTGGGTTTTGCCTAGCAAATATTTCTTATCTTACCAATATCTATGGGCCAGTTTTTGTTCCATCAGCCATACTTAACTCCAGTTAGATTGATTTTTATATCTACTTTTCAAAATTAAAAAAAAACTATGATAAGCACTAAATTAATGAGTTTAAAACCTTTGGTTTCGCTAAACATCATCTTATCTGGTCATATGTACATAGCTTTTGAATTTTTCTACTTGATCCATTCATCTACTGAGGGTCATCTACTGGTTCCATATCTTAGCTATGGTAAATAATGATGCAATAAACATAGTTGTGCTGGTTGCTTTAGTATGGTCTTGTTTGTAATCATTCAGGAAAATGCCCAAAAGTGGGATTGTGGGTCATAGGGGGAGCTCTATGTGGAGTCTCCATACTAATTTCCAAAGTGATTGAACAAATTTACATTCCCACCAACAACGCAGTAGGATTCCCTTCTGGCCACATCCCCTCCAGCATCTGTTGTTATTAGAGTTCTTGATTATAGCCATTCTAACTGGGGTAAGGTGGAATCTCAATGTTGTTTTGATTTGCATTTCTTTTATG